GGGGGCTCAGGCTGCCCAGGGCGCGCTCCCCAGCCCCCCAGGGGCCAGGCCGGGGGCTCAGGCTGCCCGGGGCGCAGGGCCGGCTCCAGGGTTTTGGGCGCCCCAAGCAGCCAAAAAAAAAAAGCCGCGATCCCGATCTGCGGCAGCAATTCGGCGGGAGGTCCTTCGCTCCGAGCGGGAGTGAGGGACCATCCGCCGAATTGCTGCCGAATACCTGGACGTGCCGCCCCCGTCCGGAGTGGCTGCCCCAAGCACCTGCTTGCCAGGCTGGTGCCTGGAGCCGGCCCTGCCGGGGCGCGCTCCCCACTGAGCCGTGCTGCCCTGGCTGCTGTGGCGGGGGGGAGGCATGTTCCTGGGCCCCCCCGGATCCCTCACGGCCTCGCTGCTCCCCGCAGTACACCGGCGAGATCAGCGCCGCCTTCGACCGGCTGAACGTCAGCCTGGACCCCGTCACCTTCCTCAGCCCCAGCCAGAAGCAGCTGCTCCGGGACGTCGGCGCCTCCGGCCTGCAGCCCAACTTCACCGGCGCCCTGCAGCAGGTGGGCTGGGGGCCCGGGGGGGGGCAGGGCCTGTCTCAGGCTGGGGGTGGGGGCAGTTGTGGGATCTGGGGCTCTGTACGTTGGGGTGTTTTCCATGGGGTCGCGTGGCCCCAGACCGCTGCTAGGCCCGGTCCCACACCACCTTCCTGGGGCAGCCAGTGGGGGTGCTCCCCCCCCCGGGAGATCCCACCCCTCCTGCGTGGAGATGGGCGGGGGGCAGGGCAGGGGAGCAGGGGCTGGGTGGCGGGGGACAGGGGCTGGGGCAGGTCAGGGGCTGGGCGGCGGGGAGGGGCAGGGGCTGGGGCAAGTGGCAGGGGAGGGGCAGGTGGCGGGGCAGTGGGGGTGGGGGCAGGGGCTGGGGCAGGTGGCGGGGGCTGAGCCAGGCTCTGTGTGTCTTTCCGGGTCCCCAGGGTGGTCACTCTAGACACGCTGCTCCCCCCCACTGGCCATGAGGCCATTTGTCCCCCACCCCAAGGGGGCATCGTGCACACTGGGTCTGTGCTCCCCCCCGCCTTGGCCCAGGAGAGATCCCTGGTGTGACGGGGTCCCCCCCCGCCCCCGCCTCGGCCCAGGGGAGATCCCTGGGGTGACGGGGTCTGTCCCCCCCCCGCCTCGGCCCAGGGGAGGTCCCTGGTGTGATGGGGTCTGTCCCCCCAACTCTCTGCTCGTCTCTTCCAGCTGGAGAGGAACGTGACGCAGCGGGACCTGCTGGCGCTGGCGGAGCAGCTGGAGGGGCTGGCCAATGGGTCTGTGAGTGACGCCGGGAACCGCCCTGCGCCCGGCCCCAGGGAGCGTCAGCGCTGGGTGTGGGCTCCCCAGGGTCACTGGGGTGCTGCCTGGGGGGGCTCTTGTCATTGCTGATCGCTCCCCTCCCCTGGGAGGCGG